AGAAAACTTGCAAAACAGTATAAAATACAATAATATATATGGAACAAAATATTATCAATTTATGTACAACTTCTGTATAAATACTATCATCGTTGGGCGTATGAAAAACGATGATAATTCAAAAATGTTTGCAGGGCAAGTATGGCAGACATTTTCGAGTCACCGCATATTGGCCATACTTGGTCATCCATACTGGATGACCAAGTAACTTAAACTGCAAATAATCTCCAAAAACATGGAGGACATCCCCAAAAACATGGGGTAAAATTAATCAAATAAATCTCCAAAAACATGGAGAACATCCCCAAAAACATGGGGTACAAGTAGATAAAGAAATCTCCAAAAACATGGAGAACATCCCCCAAAAACATGGGGTACAAGTAGATAAATAAATCTCCAAAAACATGGAGAACATCCCCAAAAACATGGGGTACAAGTTGATAAATAAATCTCCAAAAACATGGAGAACATCCCCAAAAACATGGGGTACAATTAATCAAATAAATCTCCAAAAACATGGAGAACACCCCCAAAATATGGGGTACAAGTACATAAATTAATCTCCAAAAGATGGAGAACATGCCCAAAAAAACATGGGGCACAAATATATAAATATATCTCCAAACACATGGAGAATCTTCCCAAAGCATTGGGCCCAAGTCAATAAATAAAACTCCCAAAACAAGGGGACAGAAGGCAATGCATGGTATGTGTTGCGCTAACTTGAGACTGACAAAATATATCACAGAAGCGCAACGTAACTGTTCATAAAACGCAGTGCCACTAATAATGTGAAATTAAAATACCGATCTTACCTGGAAAGAATAATCAAATAACAGAGCAAAACTTCTCTTAATTAAACTTGATCAAGTTTTTAATAGTCTTCAGTATAGGTGATGTTCCTTTGACGATAAGCTGTATGTGAATGCTTAGAACTTAGCATAGGGATGTGTTATAACCCTTTCGTAATTGTTATCTATATATAACCGAGTCTGTTCAAGATATACCTAATACCTTAGGCATTTCCTGTCTCTGTCAGCTTAATATATAATACACCACGGCTTATCAATTGTAATAACCGACTTATCTCCCCAAAGTCTGAGACAGAAGGCATAAAATTCCTATTTGCTCGCAAATATTTTCTATATGAGAACGACAACTCTGTTAATAGGATGCAGAAATTTCGTATTTCTCTGCTTTATTTCAAGATTTTCACCATTCATTCCAATTTTACTAGGAAAACTAATAGTAACATATTTTATTGAAACGATCATTTTTCTCGCAAACATATAACAGAAAAATAAGCGTGCTTCGTGCATGCAGGCTACTAATTATTAAAACACTACAGAAAAGGCTTCTCATTGGCGGCAAATACAGATTTTGATGTAAAAGGGCACAATTTTGTGAAAAACTGGCTCAAAGAAACGGGCATGGAAAAGCTATGTGCTTCATTTGAAGGTATGTACTGTAAAATTGTGCAAACCTGTTACATTTCCATAAGGTTTCCAAACTTTTTAAGTGAATTTCGCTATCTCGCCGAAAAACATTTACGTATATTTTGCCTTTTTGTATTTTTAATACCGTTTCATAATTTTCATATGAAGGTGGGGCATTTGAACGCTTAATTTCTTGTTATTGATCAGTCAAATTTCAAAAAGTTCAAATTCCCGGGGTCGGCCCGGAGGGGGCATGTTGAAGTTTCGAATTGATCGGTACATTATGCAGTAAGGTTGTGAATTGGATATAAACAAACGTTAGCCAGATTTGTCTATTCGATGTATAAATGCATCAAGAAATATTCATAGTGTAAATTCTTTATTCCTAATATATATTGACGAGTAGATTGGAATAGCTATCTTTTATTTCTATATATTATAGCTATGCACGAAACTTCATAATCTTCATAACGACAATTAAAACTTCATAATCTTCATAACGACAATTAATCAGTTATATGTAATGCTTCTTAACAATTACAATTAATAAAACGCTTCAATATCACTTACATTTTTTAAGATTCCTTTAATATCCACCGTGTACTCGTTCACAGCAATTGCTCGGTGCACGTTTTCCTTTGTTATTCGCAATTAAAGAGGGACACACGGTAGAATTATTCCAAGCGCTTTGTCAATTGCATGAAACAATATCTGGAGTATTACGGCTAATCGTATTACGTGTTTCGTGTCCTTGGAGGAAGATGATCCGTCTCGAGCTCCATGAACGTCTTTAAATTTAGCGTTTTGTTCTTCGATAACCCGGCTACAATAGTCATTGTACACGGCCTTTGCATCTGCAGAATAGCTCATATATCCTAGCTTCCCCAGGTTGATGCTGGTGATATATACCATCAAAAACACGAGAAAGTTCTGTTAATTGGGTTGCTCTGAGCTGCTCGATATATTCTTGAACTTGACTAGGTGGAAGAAGATTTGGCTTTGGGACTGTGATCATTATTCGCTCTAAAAGGCCATCACCCGCGTTGGCCATTCTCTCGAAAACGCCTCGAGAAAGGAAAGAACGTGGTTGACTAATGCCACAAAACGCAACACCGGTTACTTGTGGACCATTACGTTTACCCTTACTCCCTTTTGTTATCATCCATGATTTACCATCATAAAATTTGCAGAGAAGTTCGCTATTTAGTTCTTTCCCGTTATTGCCTCCATTACAAGATAACAATTTCTGAAAAAATGCACGAGCTACATCCTTAGCTATGAGACCCTGACCATTGTGTGTTTTTAAATGTTAGTACATGCCGGTTCGAGAACTATCTTCAACAACACAATAACAGTGTTCTGCTTATCTTCTACATATTGAACAATTGGGTCGATGGACAGGCTAAATGCTGTAGATTTATTGGATCCCGATTCGGCAAGGAACAAAGTATAAATATTTACAGGCTACGGATAAAGACTTGAGGCTCTCACTTTCGTTGTGGGAGAAATTAAAGCAGATATAGCACTTAGTAAAGGCCATAAAACGAATTCCTTAACCACATTGCACGCTCTTGAAAACTTTTCCAGCCATCCCACAAAGACGGCCGGTGCTGCCCTCTGACCATAGAAACTCAATTTTCTTTGCTTCAGCATAAACCTCATCGATAACATTTTGCTCCACGTTTGACATCTTGGCAATTTTAGAGTGCTTAGGTTTTACTGCAACATCTTAACAAAAACATACAGGTTTTGCCATCAATATTGATGTCGCCCCAACCAGGGTGAAATTGCAAATTTATTGAATTTGTACTTTTTAATTTTTTTCTTAAATTTAAAAATATGTGACGATATATACCTACGAACATTACAACCCTTAAAGTGTTTATGCAACAAAATTTTCGACATCGTTTTTTTCCGCAAATCTAAAAGACCAAGGTGCAGTGAGTACTATGCAAAAAACAAAATTAAAATCCGACATATAGAACTCATTTTATAACGTCTCAAAAATAGCGATTTTGAGAGTTACTTGCGAAAATTGATCGCGGCTGCGTGACGTCACAAGTAGGATGCAATAATCCGTAAAATGTAAATAAACATGGCGAGCAAAGGTTAATCTAGCCATCGCGGTGGCAAATATTGTGTCGCTGGCAGACCAAATAACGTAAGCTGTACGAATAGCCAACACACAAAAGAAATTTCAATCCATCATTTCCCAAACGCGGCTAAAGAGCGTAAAAGACATGCCAAATGGGTTAAATTTGTTCGAAAACATCGACCAGGATGGATTCCTTTGGAGACGTCAATATTATGCGGCAGCCATTTCGAAGATTTGTGTTTCGAACAAAATAGAATTATTGCAGCTTCACTGGGTATAAAGACAAGGTTAAATCGTGATGCAATACCAACACTTGACAACGCAAACGAAGTCATGCAGATCGAGAAATCACTTTCAAATAGGAAACGTAGAAATTTAAATATATAAACTGAATATATTAATAAATTTATATATGTTTGATACTCTGGTGTACAATAAACTGTAAACATGTTTGAGATTGCTGTTTTCATGAATTGTGTTGTTTGTTCTAGACTATACGTGATATCACTCTTCAATAGGGGAACAAAGTACACTAGAGGAGAGTACGTCTTCAAAAGTGACCAAAATCGAGCACATCGCATATTCGTCAAATATACATGTACCTGAAAACACGCAGGAGCCATTTTTGCCAAATGAGCCTGAATGCCATAGTTGTACAAAATTAAAGGCGAAAGTTGTTAAGCTGCAGAAGAAAGTAAAAGCTACCTGACGAAGAGACGACAAGAACTAATCTCCAGAACTGAAAAGGTTAGAAACACTTTTGTTTTGTTTTGTTTACATTTAGAAACACCCCTTGCTTTGTTTACATTTAATTTGCTGCATATGTTTCTGGCAGGTAAATTTTCGATTTATATACAGTACAATAAAATAGATTATGTTCTGCATTGTTTAATCTACAGCACAGAACAATTAATAACAAAACTCTATTAAGAGATTATACCTAGGAGTTGTGGCAGGTTATGATTATTATAGAACAATCAAATTTAACAACACATGCATGGCAAATCCAGAAAGTGCTTATTTTATAGGTATTAGTAGCCAAATTGTTTGTAACATTTTAAATGTTTGTTATTTTCAGAATGTTGAAAATGATGAAGACGAAACTGATGTTTCAGACTCTGAAGTTTGTAGTGATACAAGGACAACTGATACTCTTGATTCCTTGGAAGAAACCGATGTTTCAGATTATGATGATGTTGACTGGGAGATCAACTTGGAAGATGATGTTGATTCTTCAGCAAGTGATGACGAGAACACAACACTGTGCCTAAGTATCTTGTGAGGTAAATACCCAACTATACCTTGTGGCTGGCTTGTCTATAATTAAAGATAAGGTCAAGTCCGTTCGGTGCATGTGCTATTGTGTGGGTCCCCCCACATGTAAACATTGCCCATATTTTGCAATATTTTATATATTTTCAATTTCAATTGTCATTCATATTGATTTAAAAGCCCAACCAATCAGAATGATGTCAGATATTAACTAAGTACAGTACGACCTGTTTTTAAGAATAAAGTGTTCTAAAGTGTAAACAAATCATGAAATCACATTTGTTTACATACGAACTTGACATTGCCTTTAATTAAAACCAAATAAATTCCAGTTGTATGCAAATACACTTGTCACTTGTGATTGGTAATACAGAATATTCTTGCATTATTTATCAATATTCAATAGTGATCATTTCAATGAGAATTTATTTAAAAATATTTTCTGTAGGGTTGCAGAAGGAACAAAACCTGGTGATGAGTCCAAATTTGTGATCTTTTACAATATGTTGGTAGCCATATTCCAGCATTTTTGTTTCCATTGCAAATGGGACAAACCTTCAGTGGAAGTACACAGAATAGGGACAATTGCAAGTGTAACCCAAAAATGCAACCATTGTGGGAAAGTTTACTGTTGGAAAAGCCAGCCATCAATGTTTACAAAGCATCCTGCTGGAAATATTATGTTGAGCTTTGGCATAATGGCGTCAGGAGCAATGATTAGCCAAACCTTACTTGTGTTTAAGCATATGAGACTCTCTGCTATTTCACCTATTACCACCAGAAGAGGTTTCATTTTCCTTCACTGTTGCGCCATTGGGAAACTTATCAGGCCTCTCTTCTTGGCGAACTAAAAGAGATTGAGAAACCAGCATGGTCAGGCGATGGTCGGTTTGATTCAATGGGCCATAGTGCAAAGTACGGTGTTTATACCATGTACTCCAACTCCATATCTAAACTGGTTCATTTTTAACTCTTTCAGGTACCGGTACAAATCATTACTAGTTTTTTAAATTTTAAGATAATACCATGATCACCTTGGTTTCTTTTGTCCTCACCAGGTCATTTACTGTTTCACCCTTATTAACCCATTGAGCCGCAATGCGCCCCACTTATTTTTGTTTACTTGTCTAACACCAGACAATTTTACTTGTCATTGGGGAAGCTCTGCAGCTTAATGGGTTAACCAAAAAATCTGACAATGTCTCTAGTTAACCCATTGAGCTGCAATGCTCCCCAGTGCACCCTACTTATTTTTTACTTGTCTAATGCCAGACGATTTTACTCGTCAATGGGGAAGCTCTCTAGGCTCAGATTCCAGCCGTTGTGTTCTCGCCACTCGCCCACTTAACGGCTGGGTCAATGGTTAATATTTCTTGTCTGTGACGTCAAGGTTAATATTTAAATTTATGCATATGTTTTGCATAATTATGTATTTCTGTGCAATGTAAAATGGCGGCTGTCAGGAGCGAACAATTTTGTTTTGAAGAGGAAATAGCAAATTTTAACAACTTTGTGCATTCATCGATAACTTTTTTGTAAAGGAAAACAAAATGGAAGCTTTTAAGTTCATTTGACAAAATGTTATTAAGTTCTAGTATGTTTTTAACGAAGACAGGGGCTGCAATGTACACGAGTCAATGAATATATTGTATATCTAAGTAGAAAAAACAACCCTACCAACAAAAGCAGGTGAATCTGAATAATTAACGTCTTATTTCGAACAAATAGTTTTTCAATGAATATTCTTTGAAGAGGAACATAAATTTAATGTTAATATTTGAGTTGTTTATAGACTATAGTTATACGTAATGCAATTTTACGCCTTGTGATTAATATCTAAAAATTTTCCTTATGATCGATTTTGTTCGAGGGACAGTGAAGGAACTAAGTCTTTTATAGACCAAACAATAGTCTGTCAAGATATGATCATCTGGAAGCCTGCAAACATCAAAGCTACAAAATAGAAGACCTACAGTAGTGTTTGATGTTGAACTGTACCTTACTGTGCACCTTCATAGATTTGGTTAAACAGTCTTTTGATGTAGCAAGAGTATTTGAAATTTAAAATGTTCTTGGCCTTATTTCGGTGTTGTATAAGTTGTCTGTACAAATGGATGCCGGGTGGCGGGTGTGCTCATCGACCCATATACATGTATGTATGGTTCAGTGTATGACTGTTGACCAAGTCAGTAATCATTTGTAGCTACACACAGCAGTGAGGGGTATTATTGTGGTAATGGTGACAGGATATTGTCTTTCCAAATTGAAAAAAAAATGATTTGATGAAATACCCCCCTCCCCACCTTACACCCCTTTGCCAATGTTAAGGGGGGTGCACCCCCATGGCAGTAAATACATCCAGGGATGGATCCAGCATGATCTGGTAGGGGGTGCTCTGCCAGCTCTGGTGCCGAGTTGTGTCGGTCATGTGTGCCACCCGCCCATCAACTTGCTTCACTACTGCAAAGTCCTGTTTGACTACTGTATTTAAATTGTAATTGTTGTTCACATTTCACTTATCATTCATGTTATTACTCAAATTACTGTATGTCATTTGTCTCTAATAATTTTTTGCTTTATCATGAAAAATAGCACCCCCCCCCTGCACCCCCTCTGGCCAGGGTAAGGGGGGTGCCCCCCCCCAGTAAATCCATCCCTGAATACATCTCTGCAGGAATGCAAGAAGAATTTGGCTTCTTTTCCCCCATGAAAACTTAATCCCCCATGCCAGGATAATTTTGGTGTTTAACATTTTGATATTTTCTAACTAAAGTGTTACTGCAACAAATTTTCTGAACCCTTGTTTATTAGCTTAAATAAATATTCAATCTTTCAGAACTAGCAATTTATCATGCTTTGTCATTCTCAGTCTGGCTTTCATATGAACAGCCATTAATTTAAAAACACACATTGGCATGACAACTATCCTTTTCTTAATACCATACTGACAAGGTTTCCAAAACTCAGCCTGAGGGCTGAGAGCAAACATATTTGAGCTTGTTGAACAGACTAAATGCATATTTCACTGATGTCTGAATTTATAAAACATTGCATACTTTTATTCCATAAATCCTCTACTTAGGCTATCCAACAAGTCCCATTCTTTGCCCCTTCACAACAAAGAAACACATGATACCAATTGGATTTATTTATTGCCCTTCAAATAACTATGTGCCCACATTTATTCAATTAGTATTCATGGTAAATCATATTGTCAATATATAAAATAATATTGAATTTATTGTGCTTGCCTGTAATTAGCAATTAGCATATATGAGCACACTGATATATCAGTTTCAGTTCACAAATTACCTGCCCAGTGTAAAAATATTGTCAAATGGCCCAAACTAGCTTGTGGGAGATCTAACCATGCAAAGCCTATTATTACCTAGCCATGGGCTCCATGAAAGGGCCTGTTTATAAAATCCCAGCTAGGCAGGATGAGGCAGTTTCCAAGATCCTGACTATCATATCAACTCGTGTTCAGAAATACATGTATATATTTGATGAACTCACTCACAAACATGTATAAACATGACATCCTAGCTGCCTGGCAAGGTTTCCCACTTTCCCACCTGACAGGATCATATAAACATGTCTTAATATTAATTAAAATAAGCCTTTTAAATACTGCAATATCCTACATACTAATATACTATATGTCACAAGACTTTGCAAAATAAAATTTTCTACTTTCCTGGCAATATGTCAGATCAGCCCAATAATAAACACATCCAGGTTTATTGTAAATATAATTATAAATGTCCAACTAAATCAGCAGAAACAGGGAGGGTTTCAAAGGACTAGGCCACCTAGCTAAGCTAAAAAAAGAAAGCTTATTAATTTTGCTCAGCCACACGCAAAATATTATTTGCCCTTTCATGACCAAGAATCTTCAATGAGATATATTATTTATAAACACAATATAAAAATATGCAACGGATTCGAAAAGACGAAAACATTCCGGCGACTATTATTCGTAGAGAGACTTGTTCGTGTCGTAAAAATCGTCGGAATTACTCTTCCCCCAAAAATGTCGCTTTAACCCATGTAGTTCACGTATAAATATCGTTGAACAGATCTGTTTAAGTGCACATATTTGCACAACGCCGACCTCGAACGCTTCAGCAATGCGCTTTAGCCATATTTAATTTATTACCTTTGTGTTAAATTTATGCATTATTAATACTTAATGGCTTAATGGGATATTAAAATGCATGAGTAAAGTTTTATACAATGGAAATAACCTCGGTAATCATGGTACTGTATGTCAAGAAATTAGTGATTAACTGTCCCTGCACGCCTCTGGAGGTTTGTGAAAGTCTCTCGGGCCCTTGTGACATTCACAAACTCTTGTGGCTTGGAAATTTAATCACTAATTCCCACACATGTTGTGGTGTTAATTAGAAATATTTCCCATTTCCAAGAAATGTGACGTTTATAGAACTGAGCAGACCTTATTTGTGTTATCAATGGTTTATGCTTTTAATAATTAATGTATTAATTAATAAAAGCCTAAAAATCACATAACCCTCCGGACTGCAGAACAAAACTGTCCAACACTAGGCATGATGAAACGCATGTCTACATAGAACTGATTAGTTTTGTTGCACTTCAGGCAAATCAGTCGGGGTCAAGCAATGCAATGGAGTTGGATGGAGCCAAGCAATGCTTCAAATTTATCACTGAAAAAGGTTTGAAAGTGTCATCCTTTATCAGTGATCGCCACTTAGGTGTTGCTAAATGGATTCGTGAAACCCATCCTGATGTACAGCATTATAATGACCTTTGGCATGTAAATAAGAGTTTGAAGAAGTTGTTTGATGCTAGCAAGGAAAAAGGAAACGAGGCGATACAACTTTGGATGAAAGCTATCAGTGTCATTTATACTGGTGTGCCTGTTCTACAAGACAGGGTTTTGGTGAAATGATTGTTGCCAAATGGGTGTCATTGATTCGGCACATTTCAAACAAACATAAAGATCACCCTGATGAGCTTGATACTGAATGTGCACATGGTGAGGTTGAGCCACGAGCATGGATCCCAGTGGGTAAGTTTACGAAATAAAAATCTAACTTGACTCACAAGGGTAAGTACTTAGTCTTGCAATGTCACAAGATGTCCTTATGACAGTATGACTAGGCCTACAGTACCTCGCCTGTGTATATTAGTTCCAAATGCCTATCCTGGTGATAACAATATGTACAGTAGAACAATATATTAATGTACAATAACAACCCAAATGGTCACAGATGTACATGCATATATGAGTTTTACTACCGGTATTTTACTCTCCCCAACATTTGTATTTATTAAAGCTGTAAGGTGAAACCACTTGAGCATTATAGTTCAATTTCTATTATTGTTGACAGGTACATCAACTCATGACAGATTGTCCATGATTTTGTTGGACACAAAGAGATTGGCTGATATCAAGATACTTTCTTGTGATGGTCAAACCAGTTGCCTTGAAGGATTTCACTCAACCCTCAACCACTGGCACCCTAAGATGCAACATTTTTCTTGGCTAGGCACATACTGCAGGTATAGTTACACAAATAGAATAGATATTTATGGCACTACAGGTTTATCGTCCATGGCTTTCATGGTCAATTGAAACAGACGTACAGTACAAACCTACAGTATAAAATTACATGAAGTGTGTAAGGTTGGTTTAGTTTATGTAAGTTTAGATCAATTGAGGTATACCACACTGCATATACATCATGTGCAAGGAGTTTCTTCAAGTAACTGTGACTATACTCACTACTGTACATACTACATAGCCTTCTGATGAAGGACCTTTGCTTAAAATGTTAAAGTTCTTTCTCATCATACAGGAAGTTCATCCAATAATCTCATCACAGTTATCATTTTTTAAACACTTTTTAGACATATTTTGGCAATTCTTCATTTTAATGAGAACTTGAATCGAGAAAAGAGAAAGACTGCAGGTGGTGCATCATATTATAATGTTGTGTTCCCAAAGTTTAAGCTTGGTGAGGAGGTTGTCCGGGAAGTTGCCATCCATCCTACATATAGTAAGTAGTGATAATACAATATGTTATTTAGATACAATTATTCCATAAAATAGTAGTTCAATATTAAATTTATGCAACTGCTTGTTACCCCATGAATATGCAAAAATCTCTCCTAGAAACTACTTAACAGTACTTAGTACTTTCTCTATTGGCATGCAAAAGAAGCGAAGAAGCATGGAGACACTATTACACCCTCCATGTAAGAAAATTATACAAAGTAATTTATATAACTATAGAATATTACCCGCCTGGTGTCTCACACTTTGAATGTTTAATACTTTAATTCCAATGTAAAGTTTATTTGTATTCTATGTTTAAGTGCCAGAGCAACAAGAACAACCAGAAAAGATTAAACAAGCAGCAGCCGAAGCAGCAGCAGCAGAAGCTGCAGCCAAACAGAAAAAGAAAACTCCACACTGTCAAAAGTGCAAAAAAACAATGAAGGGGCATCCATGTGGTCATTGCAAGTAACCAGCTTTTAAATACTGCACCCTAAGTAGTGCCTTCTTTACTGCATAATGTCAGATGATTGTACTTGTCAAAGGGGAGAGTATTGGGCCATTTCATTTAATAAGCGCACCCCGCATATCGAGGGTCATGGATATCCAGGGGGAGGGGCTTTCAAGAATGCAATACCAAAGGGGGGCTACTGTGCAGAGCCAAGTAAAACACGTGGGGGTTTGGGAAAGCAGCAGGTTTTTTACAAAATACCCATTATATCTTGAGGGGTGAAAGCAAAACTCTTCAATACGTTCAAAAAATGTTAAAAAAACCAAGGGGGTTGAAAATTACAAGGCAACATAAAGTCTGGTAGTATAAAATCTCCAGAGGGGTGTCAAACCCTAACCCTCAATAGGGGGGGGGGGGTGCACTTATTAAATGGAATGGCCTTTGCATGTAAATAATAACAATAATATACACACATATATATATATATTATATATATACCAGTTAGTTATATTGGTATCAGTCATTTCCCATTATGTCTGTTCTGCAAGCAAGTAGCCTGTAGTATTGCCACTTGGAAATTTCTTTCTAAGATGATGGTAGATGCAGGCTGGTAATGGTCTCCTATTGTCCCACCCAAGGTAACCACAAAACCATCGTATGAGCCATCGGTATGCCACAGCTCGTAGATATCTACAAGAAAAAAATGCTAAGATTGATACCGGTACTGCAATACTGTACAATTCAACTTACAAAAAGGGGCTGCGAGGGAGGCTAGTTCTCACTTATGTAGAGGAGTAAAATTGTTTGGCAACAGCAAAAAGTTAGAGAATATACAGTAAGAGAAATATGAAGGCCTAGTGTATACAGTATGCTGGTAGGGCATTATTTTGGGGGTGAATTGTAATGATCATGATGATAACAATGATATTGCTGGAACATGTCTAATGAGAGTAATTACCATTTATTTTTCACTGTGAATATATTCTCCATTATATCTTTTTATTTTTTTATTGCAAACTGTGAAGTTTCCGCCAGAAATGAAAGAGCAAATCTACTTGGAATCAAAGCTTGAGCATGACAGACATCTATAAGACGAAAAATTTAGTAAAAGCAATAGCCCTTGTGACTTTACGACTTACTCGTTTTTACTTTGCCCTGTCTTTCACTTGTATGGACGTCCATCACTACCTCTCAGTAAGGGACCCACCATAGTCAAAACGGCTTAGTTGACCATGGGGTTGTAATCTTCATGCTCAGTTATGCATTTAATTCTCTCTATAGAGCCATCAAAAACTGCCTTCCCGATAGCACAAACAACCTCGTGGCAGCAGCGATATTCGAGGGCGCCAACAAGCAGTTCATCAGAGCAGAAGGTACACGAACACCTAGTAGAGATTAGAGATACAGCATTACGATCATTGCACGACCACTTTTGAAGGCAGTACATATACAAATGGCATGTTTTTTAACTTTGAGATGTAGTATAAACATACAAGAGGTAGGCCTACTTTCGAAGCTAGTAAAATAAAAATATTGCTGAATGATAAAACACAGCATTTACATCATGATTTATGACATGACTAGCTGTTTATTCATATTTTGCGACTTGTGTATATATATATATATATATAATTATTAATATATGCCGATAAACAAACGTCGAATCTACTTACTATTGCGAATTCTGCGTAATAAAGCGTCAATAAGGTGCTTACCACTGGCTTACTGGACATATCTTCATAAACCTTGCTTCTAGTGTTTCTGGGGAAATGCCATCTCTGTCTTCTTCGAACCTAAAGTCGTAATCTTGTCCTACGATAGCGAGAGGTTCATCTTGATATGGAGCATTGCCGTCAGGATGCATATCCACAACACCGTAATTTTCACAGTTTGAGCTCTCATCTGCGGACAAATTAAGGCCCAGATATATCGCCACTACTTTATCTATATGATATATCGCCACATAACTTTCGATATTTCCGCAAAAAAAGGTTCGTAAATGATGCTTTATTCCCAACACTGTATTTATTTTACATGAATGGCGTCTACATGGTCCTACTTGTGACAGCACACAAAATGGTGGATAAATTCGCATCTACTGCTTCACTTTAAGCCTAATTTACGTCAAGACGCACTAACATATTACACCATAATATATATATTAATTTGATCAGAAAAGATTATATTTTCAGATTTGCGAGAAAAAAAACGATGTCGGAAATTTCATTGCATAAAGACTTTAACATATAACCTTTTCACACAACATGGGGCAAAAAACTGCGGATGTGGGATAAAACGTGAATGATAAAACAATATGATTCACAATATAAACATTTTCTTTTCGAAATCTAAATTTGAAAGATTCATTGCTGTCAATATTGAGTTATCAGTCATGGCAGCAATCTCCAGCGATACAGGTTGCCTGATAATATCGCGGTGTAACCATAATTCAGAAGCGTACATGTGATCTAGGCAAGAAGAACAAAATCCAGGTTACAGAACACCTTTGAGTGTTAATTTTGCCTAAATTTTTTTTATTGGTTTTCATGAAAGCATTATACTAGTTCTACTATCTGACCAAGTTTGGACGAAAAATGTTGAAAACTTGCAGAGCTATTTAATAAAATACATTTCGTTGCAATAAGAAAAACATTGAAAATGTAATATTCAAATTCAATTTTCTCCCGAAAAATTTTACGGTAATTACTGATTTTCAAACGAGTTGTGCTCCTGCGGGTTTTAACTAATTTTTCTCAGATTTTCACAGGAAATAGCTAAAGACGTCAGTCAATTTTTTAATTTTGGATATTTTAAAAACAAAGAGCAATTGACTCAAACAATTCAGAAATATATTGCAGTCGTCAAAGAAATCGCCATATCAGCGGAATGACGAAATAAACAAAAATTTCTGAACACAATTTTTTAGAACAACTATTTTACTGTATAAAAATGATATTTTCATAAATATATCTTAAAACCAACAGGAGCACAACTCAAAAGCGTAACGATACCGCGATTTAAGATTTTCCTAAATAATTGTTACCTTATTTTATTATTTGTTAATTTTACAACTTTATCATATTTTGCATGCACTGGAGAACATTTGGTGAAAATTTGATGAAAATCGGACTGATATTGAGTGCGCAGTAGCGATTTTTCGCAAAACACCAAAAAGGGTGCCCTGTAACCTTAACACAGCTAGAAAGAACATGCTAAAATGAGTAAAATTGCAAAGTTTGGTTGCAAAATGTTGCGAAATGTTGCAAAACGAGGAAAATATAGCCTTACGAAATTTGCAACTTTTGTATTAATTTGTATTATCAATTATTTGTATTAGAAATCTATTGCCTGAGCTTTCGTCAGAGATCTTTAATTAGTAAACATTTGTATATTAGAACCAAAGCACTGTGCCTTCTTAAGATATGTCATTTTGAGTGTCTTATGCTGTTTTCGCTGACTACATTTGAAGGTGTTCGTAGCAACAGATTTTTTTATTGCCAAGTTTTGTTCTCTATATGTCCGTATATTTGGCAATGCTATGCATTCTAGTCATTTGCAAGGGAAATGAGTAAATGACCCAATTTGGTCTATTTATGATATTGTGATACCACAGGCGGCCCAATCTCTGAACGTCCTATATATTTTGAAGATTTAACCGTTATAATATTTTAAAATAACAAAATAATTAAAAAAATATTGACAATATATATGTAAAAAATATATCTCATTTGTTAATAGAATGCATTTGTTTTGTTTCGGAGTTTAGTTGATGCGATTGCTTTACGTGTTCATCGTACTTGAACGGTTGTCAGTACTGGCACTGGACAACATGGCCATATAGGACATAAATAACTACAAGGTAGCCACTTATCTGATATACTCTCCGACATTGAGTTCAATATCTCGCCTCAGAATCGTTGCAGAGCAATAAATTTCACATCGCCTAATAGTATGAACATTCCTGTTTCGAAAGAACATGGTTTCTTCACCATTTGGGCAATTCCCGCGACACACACCAACTTTGTTTATCAAAAATTCAAAATTCCATTTTCGAAAGAGGCGCTAACCCCATGTTCGTTGCCACGAGAGGCGGCTCAGCAACCTGGCCTCCTCGTTTGAAAACATTCCATCAGGGGGGAGGAGCTGGACTGGAATGAGGGGGCTTTCAAAGCAACACGATAAAACACACAATATAAATGATAAGACACAGTTAAATGCAGCCAAGTTCAATACTTGTTTATTGTCGAATACAGCATGATAAAGTAATAATTTCTCTTTATATTGTGTGTTTTATCATGTTGCTGAAAAGTAATAGTTGTAGCAACAATTTTGATAAATTTTACGAAAATATTACTGCGCAATACCAAAGATACGGTCCTGGTTCTTATGTTCGACAACAAGAGTTTTTAATAGTTTAGTATACGTCATCTTGCAAGTATATATTGTGGATGTGATTTTGTCATATTCCATTCGTGTTCACTGGTGTTCGCAGGTGTTCCATTCGTGTTCACATGTGTTCATTCATGTTCCATTTGTGTTCACTCATATTCTGCGCACTCATGTGGAGTTTTAGATCAGATCGATGGGATATGGCAGATGATTGAGTCATAAAACGCGGGTAAGAAATGGTGGATGAGGGATAAAATTGTTAATAAATATTTTGTTATTACTACTAGCTCAAACATTTTCTTTCCAAAATATGAATTCGAGAGATTCATTGCTATCATGTATCACCACAGCGGCCAATCTCTGAACGTCCTGTATATTTTGAATATTTAACCGTTATAATATTTTAAAATAACAAAATAATTAAAAAAATATTAACAATATATGAAGAAAAAAAAATCTCATGTGTTAATAGAATGCATTTGTTGTGTTTCTGAGTCTAGTTGATGCGATTGCTGCGATCTAGTTGATGCGATTTTAATTATGTAAAATTGTTTGCTGAATTACATCTTTTTACCCGAGAAGCTTAAAATTGATATTTGTGGTGTTACTCTGAGCGTATATCCACACCGGGCGAGCTTGAAAAATATGCCCGGCCACGGTGGGATTCGAACCTACGACCTTTGGAATACTAGCCCAATGCTCTTCCAACTGAGCTACGCGGTCAGGACGGTTCGAGTAAGTGATATTTCGGAACAGAATCTAGTTCCTTCGATACCAATGTATTCTAGTAATATGATTTTTTTCTGTGTTGGTGTAGGTTCGAATCCCACCGTGGCCGTACGTTGGTCATAGGTTGGTCGTAGGTTCGAATCCCACCGTGGCCGGGCATATTTTTCAAGCTCGCCCGGTGTGGATATATGCTCAGAGTAACACCACAAATATCATATTCACCTGAGTACACTACACCAACACAGAAAAAATTCATATTACTAGAATACATTGGTATTGAAGGAACTAGATTCTGTTCCAAAATATCACTTACTCGAACCGTCCTGACCGCGTAGCTCAGTTGGAAGAGCATTGGGCTAGTATTCCAAAGGTCGTAGGTTCGAATCCCACCGTGGCCGGGCATATTTTTCAAGCTCGCCCGGTGTGGATATACGCTCAGAGTAACACCACAAATATCATATTCACCTGAGTACACTACACCAACACAGAAAAAAAGCTTAACATTGCACGGCAAAACTGCAATACAGGGTGTATAAATAAAAACTACACAGTTGGAACAAGTTCACCAAAGTCAAACACGCGCAACATTTTTTCAGTGCACCTGTGTACTTTAACATTCTCTAGTACATCTATCACTAAAATTATTTAAAATGCTAGCGTTTTTTGAGCAGGAAAGCTGTTATTAAAACTGCCCCCCCCCCAAAAAAAAAAGCCTTGCCCGTTGCCATGGTAACAAAGCGATTTTAAAAAGGGCCAATTTGCAGATTCTTTGATAATTTTTTGAAAATTTCTTCGGTAAAACTTTAATTTTTTGCACACGAAAAATCAAATTTTAAAAAAAATCGCACGAGAATTTTTTAATCCTAAAAAGGCCCTGTTTTTGGAGTAAAAAAAATTTGGCTTGTACAATTTTCTTAAAACTTGAACCATTTTATGCATTTCAAGATTACAGGAAACACGAGAGAAATACGATTAAGGAAACAGGAGAGAAATACGTTTATTTTTATTTATGTGACGTCACAAAAATCGGGATTTCGATTTCCTCGCGCGACCAGGCAACAATCCCAACGCAATTTTAAAAACCATGCAATTTTAAAAAACCTGCCATGTGTGCAACGTCGACCATGCATGTTGCGTGTAGCACTACTAATCTCGCACACGGACAAAATTTCCACGCGACACATACCTAAACTTGTAGGGAGCCACCTTAAGGACCATCACTAGAGATTTTAAAGAAATTGATGCTACTAATACGTACGTAGTGCATTGTGAAAACTGCCTCCTTTTCATACCCAAAACGTTTGTAAATGTAAAAAGGTGGCTCGTTATAGTCATCACAAAAACTCTGATCAAGAATCGCGAACAAAACTGGGTGACCATTTTTACACATGCATGAGTTTTTTCTGTGTTGATTACTAGATTGCATTGGTATCGAAGAAACTAAGATTCTGTTCTGAAATATCACATGCTCGAACCGACTGACCGCATAGCTCAGTTGGCAAAGCATTGGGCTAGTATTCCAAAGGTCGTAGGTTCGATTCCTACAGTGGTCAGGGATATTTTTCAAGCTTGCCAGGTTTGGATATACACTCAGAGTAACATCACAAACATAATGTAACTTGAAAGTACAGATATCAAAATATGTAAAAAAAAACACACAGTAAATGTACAGCATTTTTGCTCAGTCTCAACATTTATAATATCAACCCTTCAAAACTTCGCAAAACAAACAACTCGCAAATAAAATGATATAGGAAAACTCTAGCCACCTTTCACTAAATAAAAAGTCTACCCCCACTCTCGCAACTTTGTTTTATCTTGCCACGTCTTCTCCCAACCAAGTTTAAATCCGCAGCACAGATCTGAACCTTATATAGTGTTTGGTGATATTCTCTGATTGGACAAAATGCAACGATGTTTTAATATAGAATTTCATTGGACAGTTTTCCTTACAGGATGTTTGTTTCGTCGTGAATC